TGATCAAGATGAGGATGTCGTTCAAGATATGGCTCACCACTACAAGCATTCACTGAATGACATCCGTGATAATTAGCATTTTTGATAACGAATGATGCCCAACGATAAGGGAATACCATTTTCAGCCTGAGACCCCGACCATGACATGGTACTCTATGTCGTCGCAAAAAAGCAAAGGCTGACAGCTACCTGAGATCTTCTATTGCAAAAGATGCCTCCGTCAAGATGCTCGAACACATGGAGGTGCTTCAGCTCACTGAAGACGGCAACGCATGGCGTGCTCGTTCATGCGGTCGTATGGTGGAGATCCACACAAGTTGCCCGCAAGCAGGCTCACTCATTCGGTAACGTACGCGTGCTGCTCCGAGTTCTTCTGTCGTGAGCGTTGCTGTGTCCGATAGACTCTATCCGGCTTTTACAAGTGCCAAAGTTTCTGCCGAGTTGTCCTCCTGTTTTACGACGTTCGTGCATGGTATGCACTACGAGGCAGCAGCACTATCCGAGTGAGAACCAGCAATGTAGTCTGACCCGCCTCACTACCGTGAGCCCAGCTCCTGTACTCGGAAAACAGCCGATGCTTCGGAGCTTTGACTCATTTGAAGACCCAGAGAGTATGAAAGTACCGAGGCGGATAAGATCGTAAATCCATCCAGGATGTGATTGCGGACAGCACAAGTGCAGCTACCAGCGGTTCCGTGCGAACGGCCTGTCGATAGTCACCGGTGGCTGCAGCCGCGAATCTCTGATTGAAGGGGTTAGCTCGAAGCTCTCGTACAAAACCTCTTAACGCAGTGCCATCCAGCAACAGACACAAGGGTCAGAAGCTCTATCATTCTTCGTTTTGCCGCATCCTGTTCAAGATAAACTCAAAAAATCCCAAGGACGATGAAGTTGTCTTCAACCTGCACAGCGATTCTCGGGCCTCTCCTCTTCTTATCCGCCAGTCTCAACAACGTCGTCAACGCGCAGTGCTCCGACGTGCACATCGTCTTCGCTCGTGGCAGTGGTGAAATGCCTGGCCTCGGAATCTGCGGTGAGCCCTTGGTTAGTGGTATCACCTCCAACCTCGGTGGTATGAGCGTCTCCTCTTACGCCGTCAGCTACCTCGCATCCTATGACCAAACCAGTGCTGGACCGGGTGCGACCGACATGACTAACCACGTCGTATCCGTTGCGCAAGAATGCCCCAGCACGGTTTTCGTTCTCGGCGGTTACTCGCAAGGTGCTAGCGTCACCGATATCTCTCTCGGCATTCAGACCATGCTCGGATCGGGCGAAACAATCCCGGAGACGCTGGCTCCCCGAATCAAAGCTATCGTGACATTCGGCAATCCACTCAAACTCATGGGTCAGACTATTGAAAGTTCCAGCTCAACCTACGGCTCCAGGGCTATTGAATTCTGCAACACTGGTGATCCAGTGTGTGGCGCTGGGTTCAACAT